TCACTGACTAAACCTGCAGTGCCTGGTACCACAGCCACTGGGGTAACTGCAACGCAACCTTGAGGCAACTTCAAAAACCAACTGAGAACCCCCTCAGCATCTCTGGCCTCTGGGCGAGGGACTGTGCAGCCGCACCCGGCAGGAGCAGCATGCCCAAGGAGCAGGCACTGCTAGAACGCCTCCCCGGGGCACATCTGTCCCACTCCGGAGCGCTGCAGCTTCCCAGAGCTTCATTTAACAACACACCCCACAATGGCGGCCAGGGGACTGGCTTGGACCAGACTGCAAGAGGACAACATGGTCCTGAAGACGGCTCTTTAGATCCACATGAGCAATTCCACACTCACCCCAAGCAGGTCATCATCAACCAGGAGGAGTCCCTCAAAACCACTGGTGTGGTCCAGCACCACAGTGGAGGGACCAAGTCGCCCCTCGGTCACCTGATCTGAAATGAGAATGGCTGGTCAGAGCAGCGAAAAAGGCACATGGCACAAGAGCTCTAGGCCAGGGCCTACCACCGGCACTGTGCAGCTATGAAGGAGAGCCAAACAGCATTAACGCTGTCAGCACAGCCCGGAGCAGGGACGCAGGCCCAGGCTGACAGCCAGGAGCTGCGGGGCTCTGTGCCTGTGGCCCAGCAGTGGCTAACCCTGGCAAAATGCGACCAGGACACAGACTCCCCCGGCAGCATCTCACTTCTGAGCGCCACGCTGGACTTTAGACTGGACAATCCTAGCTCGTGGGAGCAGGACACGGGCTCATGCCTAGCTATGGAGTGAGTTAGGGCTACTCCACACGGGGCCTGCGGGGCGGTCTGGGTTCACAGAGGGCTCCACACGGGGCCCGTGCGGGGGGGAGGCTGCGTTCACAGGGGGCTCCACACGGGGCCCGCGGGGGGGAGGGGGTCTGGGTTCACAGGGGCTCCACACGGGGTCCACTGGGGGGTCCGGGTTTACGCAGGCTCCACAGGCGGCCCGCAGGTAATCAAGTCTGGTTGAAATGGCAAGAAACTGTTTTTTCTTTGTGATCCTGTCCGATATCTGTTTTGTGATATTACGCACAACGCATTGTCTCAACGACTTGATTACCTGCATCCTGCTTCAAAGACATTTTAACACCAGACTTGAAAGAGAAACCTCTGAACTGTCATTCATGCTTAAATTTGACACTTTACACCTAGGTCTTAACAAGGACACTAATTACCTTACCCATTACAAAGAGAGCTTCCCCAATGATCACCTCTAATATCATTAGCTCACAGACATGTACCTCATCCCTCTTCTGTTCTGAAATTTGATTTGTCCTTTTCACGTGTGCATTTTTTTGATTGTATCCTTTGGTATATATGGTTGTGCCAATTTTCTTCCACTATTTGATCTGAGGAAGTGGGTCTGGCCCACGAAAGCTCATCACCTAATAAACCATCTTGTTAGTCTTTAAAGTGCTGCACAGTCCTGTATTTTGTTTCAGCTGCACCAGACTAACCCGGCTCCATTTCTATCACTGGTATGGGCTGTGCTTTAATGACAAGGGGAGGGAACAAGTCCCTGGCACCCAGCAGTTCAGAGCCTGGGGCTGAGGAAATTCCACAACAGGAGGGGAACGCCTGAGAAGCAGCCACCACAATGACCAACAACCCAGCACATGGTAGGGGAGAATGGGCCAGCCCAGCTCTTGCGAGCGCTTGCTGTGTCCTTGCTGAGGCGCTGTCTCCAGCACCCTGCCCAAGAGTTCGCAGCCTCACGAGTCCCCTGCTCTTCGGGGAAGCATCCCGCTGGCCACGTGGCAATAGGGCTGCTCCGACGGAGAATGGATCTGCGGCAGGCACAGCCCACATGTGCTCCAGGTGCAGCAGTTAAAGGGATGACGAATCAGAACACAGGAAAGCAGGAACCGAGCTCCTTAAGGAAGATGTCTCCCCCCAGACTGTCTCTTTTCCCATTGAGGCAAGGGTGCTCCAAGAGGATCCGACAGCATCTCCTACCTCGACTGCCCTCTGGCCCGGGGCCCTCTGCCAGCAATCCCTCAAGGTGCTCCTGCAGGTTCTGGAACGTCAGTGGCTTCCTGGGGATAAAGAAGAAAGCCCTTCGGGACTCACCAGTTCACACTCTGGGTGGCTTGTAAGCCAGAGCCGCCTAACTCCCAGCATTGTCCTTTGAGATTACACTCACATGCTTAAATTTGACACTTTACACCTAGGTCTTAACAAGGACACTAATTACCTTACCCATTACAAAGATAGCTTCCCCAATGATCACCTCTAATATCATTAGCTCACAGACATTTACCTCATCCCTCTTCTGTTCTGAAATTTGATTTGTCCTTTTCATGTGTGCATTTTTTTTTATTGTATCCTTTGGTATATATGGTTGTACCAATTTTCTTCCACTATTTGATCACTAGCACAAGGGGTGGATCCCTGACACACTGAAATTCCCACGTCATGTATCTGATGAAGTGGGCTCCAGCCCACAAAAGCTTGTGCCCCAATGAATGTGTTAGTCTTCAAGGTGCCACAGGACTCCTTGTTGTTTCTGCTGGAACAGACTAACACAGCTCCTTTCTGAGCCTTGAGGCAGACAGACATGCTAAAGCCAAAGGCTGGGGATATGAATAAGAGACGTTACCGAAGGCTTTCAAGTCTTGGTGCTCAGGGAGGTCGGAAGCAATCCCATGGGGAGTTCTGTGAAGCTGGCTCACTGCATGACTATTACCACAGTGCTACACCATGTGAGAGGTGTGCTAGAGCTGTGGACCGGCAAACTCATTCATAGGCGTTTGGCAGACCACAACAACGAAAATGCAAATATTCAAGTCAAATGTTACTGGTCTGCCACATGTAGCCCAGCCTGGCCCCCCAGAGCCACCATGAACAGCAGTTCAGCCCCAGCAGCCACCACGGCCTGGCAGCCGGCGGTTCGTGGACCTGCGGCTGGGAGCCAAAAGGCCAGCCCCACCCAGCGAGCTGACAATGTGTGTACAAAACAGGAGGCGGCAGAGACAGACGGGGGCGCTCAAGGACACGACGAGCCCGGACTGGGCAGCGCGACAGGAAATGCACCCGCAGCCTAACCACTATCCAGGATTCTGCAGGCACCACAGAACAGGAAACTTCCCAGCAGGGCTTTGGAGGGGGAGTGTGACGCAGCTTTGCTGGTGTCTGAGGGGAGCTTCTTCCACGCACAGCACAGCCGACTAGCAGGACTGCCTCAGCATGGCAAGTTCCATTAGCCAAGTTCCGTTAGCCGGGAGCCGGGCGGCGGGCCGGGAGCCGGGCCTTCCAACTCAGCTCAAAGAGAGATCCAGACACAAGCCTGTTGGTTGGCCCAATCACCTTTCCTGGCCTGTCAATCCCTGTGCCCTTCAGGCTCCTGTCGTCAGAGAAAAGAACTGGAGTCCTGTGAACTGACACGCTAGTGCAAATGGAATATGCCAAGGCACTTGACTGGAGAGTCTGTGGCAAAGTAACAGGAGACAGAGCTCAGCTTACCCAGAGTTATTTTTAGAGGTGCTGCCGGCTCAGACGTGAGCTCAGAATCTAAGCATAGTGGGAGGAACATGACACCCCCGCCCCCTGAACCTTTTAAACACCGCCAGCCAGAGAGAGGGCCCTCTCACCAGAGGGGCTCCACATCACTCCAGAGCACCTACCCCCCCAAGACTACATGCTCCCAGTGGCACAGTTGACTCAAGAGTCGCACAGCAAGAGGCCCTGGGTTTCTGACCCCCCAAATGTGAAGCAGGGCTGAAAGCGTAAGAAGAGTTTCAATGCCACAACTTGGTGTCTAGCTTCATTTTAGCCCTGCACGTGCAGCTTACAGAGTGCGAGGCTGAGACAACAGAACTGACAGTACTGCCATTTGAAGCGTCATTGTATTGCGCACTGTGTCCAGTTGACAGGGCACAGACTGCCTGTTTTCAGAACTGCTAACACAACATTTCTGTAGTACTTGTCACTGCATAAGCAGACTGTGCATATGCAGGACAGCTGGCCCTAGCTCCCTGCAATCACATTTACTGGCTACCCCCAAGAAAGGCAGGCCAGCAATTACACCTGCACAAGTCAGGCGGTGGAAGTCTAATCGCGAGTCTCTATTCAAAAAGGAAACTTCTGCAGTACAATGCACTTACACTGGCTTGTTCTTTCCTAATGCCAGCATCACAAAGCGGCTTTGTTACCAAGCGACCCTGGAAAGGTCCTCCCAGTGAGACTTGCTAGGTAAGAGTCAGCGGGCAGCCAGTACCTGTAAGCAGCTGCAGACTGGATCCCATCGGCACTAGGGAAGATGCGGTGCAGATAGTCATTCAGCAACTTGCTGTTCACAATCCCTGCAGCAAACAGCAAAGGCGAGATAAGCAATGGGAAGTCAGGCAGAGCCCCAGAAATATCATCAAATTCATCTCTGTCTCCAAGGGCAAGGTCTCCAGTCCCTGGGGAAACGCGGGGGTGTGGGTCTGCAAGTCACCTACTGTGCGACAGAAAAGGCGGCTTCAGGAAGACACTTGCCTGCTGACCATTTTCAGTCGGGGCATCAGACGTTCTCTTTGCAAGCCATGGAAGCACAACAGATCAGCATGGGCCCTTACACAACCTGCCCCGGCTGAGGAGAGGACAGAAAGTTCCCCCTCTAGTCTTCCGGAGCTACGCTGGGTGCTCATCTGGAACGCCTGTGCACCCAGCACAGGCGGCTTTACTGATTCAGTAGGAAAGGGAGTCCCCTACTCAGCTGTAACGTCTCATGTTTTACTCCTCTCTGTACTGCACCAGAGCAGCGACATGCACATCGCTGGGAGAGGAAGGGGCTGGTGCTTGCAGCCCCCGAGTCTAATCAAATCCCTTGCCAGATCTCCCTGGAATGGAGTTTCAGCTCTTACTTTGGAGACAGGCTGCTCCACTCACCTTTCATTGCTTTCCCACCTCTCCCTAGGGGAACAGGAGGGGGAAGATCTGAAGTGATCCCCAAGAAATCAAGTGAGCTTGGCCCACTTAGGATCTCATGGCCTTGCCTCTATGGAACTTTCTGCACATGGCGAGCAAATGCGGGCTATAGCGACAGCCCCTTGGCACACATTTACCTCCCAGACAAGCCCTGATCCCCCATTTCACCCCCAGCACAGCTTTTACTTTCACTTCAAGGCCTCTGCAGCTGCACCAGAAACACTGAGTATATACGTGGGAAGAGGAGGCCCTAGTGGGCATTTAAAGCCCCGCAGCCTCAGAGGGCAGCAAAGGAACTCCCCAAGTCAGATGTGAAGACAAGGAGAGGACAGATCACTGTGACAAGGGAGTCTTGGACATAGGCAAGAGGGAAAAGCCCCTGGAGCAGAGAGAAGGGCTCGTCCCAGGAGAGAGAGAGAACCCCTGGGCTCTTCGGAAGGGCTTAGGTCTCATCTGCCCACCTGCAGCTGCATGGGGGCGATCAGCTGGTCCCTCCCCCAAAGCGGGATACGCTGCCCCACTGCAAGCTGTGGCTACCGGTGTCAATGAGAGGCAGGCAGCGGCATGGCAGCACTACAAGGTGGACATGGGGAAACCCTCAGTGTCAGCGGGGTCTGGAGCAGAGCTCAGCCTAGGACGCAGGTGAGCCCACCTCCCCACGTTCTGCAAGAGCACGTACCCGTGACCTTGGGCTTCTCGGACTCCGTGCTCAGCCTGTAGCTCCTGCGGGGAAAGGCAGTCCCAGCCCCTCTCGATGTCATTCTTCACAGCTGCGCGAACCACCACCGAGGCCAAAGCTGAGACACGAAGCCACACCAGCCTGCCACAGGACAATGGGACTCACTGGTGAGACGAGTCCCCCCCTTACCTTTTGCCCATCATTATGAATCAGAGGTGTGCATAAAAGGTCGCCTCAGTTTCCCTGGCTTCAGAAGTGCCCAACTGGAGCTGAACGCGTACATGGCAGACAACTAACGGGGTCCCTGCCCCAAGACTTGACCTTTCCAGGTTGGATGGCAGTTGGAGTAGACTACCAGCCCCACCCTCAGTCTCATCTGGGCATGAGACAAGACATTCACAACACATTGTACTTCAGTTGTTCCCAGCAACTCGGCGCTTGCATGCTCCAGACAGCGCCTCTAGCCATGGGCTCTACACCCACCAAAGAGCTTAGGCTGCCCCTCTGCGCAGAAACTGGGCAGCAGCAGTGGGTCAGTGCCCTGCACAGACACACCTCACTGGAGAAGGGGTTCAGGGACAGCCATGGGATCCAAATACCAACCTAGCTGGGTGCTTGGGGATTAGTGCGAGAGCTAGTATGGTCCAAGAGAGCAGACAGCTGTCAGGGAGAGGAAAGGGAGTGGTCTGCAGCCATCTACCAAAGCACATGGTGATTCTGGTTAGCTTGCACTAGGAAAAACAGTGACAAGTGCCACAGGAGCCAAAGAGGAGAAGCAGAGTGAGAGGCAATAGAGTTCCGTGAAGGCATGTAAAAAGGTCATCATGCGCACAGGAAACAAGCACGTTAAAGCCACCACCGTTAACAGTTTCTGCAACTCCGCAAAGAAATCCGAGACTAGTGGAGACTAGGAATGTAACCGATTAACCCTCAACGGGTGAGGCTTACCAGTCACAGTTAACCAGTGGGGGCTGGAGCAGCCCTCTGCCCGCCATAGACAGGAATGCTCCAACCCGGCCAGAGCAGCCTCCATCTGTGGTGGAGGGTCTTCTCCAGCCCATCTGTGGTGGGCTGGGGGCTGCTCCAGCCCCGTCAGGCTGGAGTGCCCGCCCCCGCTCACCCTGCTTCGCTGGTTACCCAGCTAAACAATGTTTAACAGGTGAACTAACCATACCGGGTTTCAAATCCCTAGTGGAGAGGTCTGTTCAATACACAACCACACTCACCAGACAGGCGCACTGGTGGCTGTTTGAAGAGATGGACTACAATGAGCCCATGCAGGTGTGTCCTTACCACGGCCTCACCACTACTCTACCCCCATGGCCTCCGGTGCGCGAGGAACAATCAGCGTCTCTTTCCCATTTATCGCTCACTTCTGCAGACCGGTATCCTGGGCCGTGCTGAGGTCAGCCCACTCTAACGCTCCCTAGCCCCACTTGCGTAACGGCCATAAACACAAGCTTGTGTTTAAAAGGAATCAAGGCTTGGTACATGGACTATCCCCCCGCCAACGGGGGTGGGAGCGACTGGTCAACTAGCCAATAAGCAAATGTTCATTGGATAGTGGACCAGTGACTCGACGCGTCGCTTCCCCTCCCCCTTGCTGCCTCTAACAGAGAGAGGCAGCCGGTGCTGTGGGGAGCCAGCTTAAAAGCCAGTCTCCCTCCAGTACCATCTCTGCAGGGAGGCAGAGGCATAACAGGGGACTGGGCACAAGCTGGGAATCAGCTGATTCCTGGCTCCTGCCTGGTCCCCCCAGCTGCACTGGCAGCAATTAATACATGTAAAAGGCTGAGCTGCAGTGGGATGAGCTCCTGGGGTCTAACCTACACTCCACACGCTCCAGTATTTGTATCTCACACTGGCTCTAGCTTCAAAACTGCCAGAGGCTTTAGGGAAATGGAGGCCACTTCTGCTGACAGCCTGTAGCTTCAGTCCTTTTGGAAACCAAGGCCCCCGACACCAGTTAAGCTGGAGCCCTTTTTATTAGGGGCATAGGGAATTGCAGTTCCATTGTAAGTTACATGGACGGTCAGCCATTTCAAAGAAGGGAAAATTGTCATCTAACGGGTAAGACACAGACAAACTTTGCTTATCTTACAAGCAAGCATTTTAAACATATGTTTGCACGATAAGCACTATCCTGGCATAGCCTCTTAGCTCTGTAGCATAGACACTAATGACAGCGACTAAGGGTTTTTCCTAAGGATGTTAAAATGAGGTTACTTTCCTAATCGAGTAGTCGACAGATTTTGTTTATCAACTACTGGATAAGAATCACCATTATAGCGCTCAGTCTGGCTTGTGGGTCCCAGCATAACCTCCCGCACTGCCACTTTGCATTATAAGAGAGATGAGCCGGCATGCGAAGGTACTGGTTCTCCTGTCCCTTGTAATGCAAAGTGGCCGATGACCTGCGGGAGCAGGGATTCCCCTGTCTCTTAATATTACACCAGGCTTCAGCCTACATTTTTGGAATGCTGGCTTTTTTTGACAGGGTAACAAGCCTTGTGGATAGGAGGAAGCAGTAGATGTGGTATACTTCGACTTTAGTAAAGCTTTTGAAACAAGTCTTGCATGACCTTCTCATTAACAAACATGGGAAATACAACCTAGATGGAGCTACAATTAGGTGGGTGCACAACTAATTGGATAAACCCTTCATAGAAGCAGTACTCAATGGTTCACAGTCTTGCTGGAAGGACATAATCAGTGGGGTTCCACAGGGACCAGTCCTAGTCAATATCTTCATCACCAATTTAGATAATGGTATAGAGTACACTTATGAAGTTTGCAGATAATATCAAGCTGGGAGGGGTTGCAAGTGCTTTGGAGGACAGGGTCATAATTCAAAATAATCTAAACAAACTGGAGAAATGGCCTGAGGAACAGGATGAAAGGAAGTAAGGAGAAATGCAAAGAACTCCACTTATGGAAAAAACAACCCATTACACACATACAAAATGGGAAGCGACTGTCTAGGAAGGAGTACTGCAGAAAGGCATCTAGGGGTCATAGTGGACCACAAACTAAATACAAGTTAACACATATCTTGGCACTGAAAAAAGTTCAGAAATGGGCAACAAAAATGATTAGGGAGTATGGAATAGCTGCCATGTGAGATGAGATTAATAAGACTGAGACTTTTTAGCTTGGAAAAGAAATGACTAAGGGGAGTTATGATTGAGGTTTATGAAACCATGACTGGCGTGGAAAAAGTCAAGAATGAACAGTTATTTACCCCTTCCCATAACACAACAAATAGGGGTCACCAAATGAAATGAATAGGTAGCAGATTTAAAATGAACAAACAGAAGTACTTCTTCAGACAATGCACAACCAGTGGAACTTCTAACCCTAAGATGTTGTGAGGACCAGAATTATAATAGGGTTCAAAAAGGAGCTTGATAAATTCAAGGAGGATAGGTCCGTCAATGGCTGTTAGTCAAGATGGGCAGCGATGGCGTCCCAAGGCTTGGACAGAAGCTGGGAATGGGCGACAGGGGATGGATCACTTGTTGCCTATGTTATTCATTCCCTCTTGAGCACCTGGTATTGGCCACGGTCAGAAGACAGCGTACTGGACTTACACGAACCTTTGGTCTGACCCAGTATGGCCATTCATGTTCTAACAGTATGATACAGTTGCAAAAAAAGGGGGGGGAGAAAAGCATCATTTTGGGATGCAATAGCAGGAGTGCTGCAAGTACGACAAGAAGTAAGCGTTCTGTTCTACTCTGCGCTGATTAGGCCTCAACTGGAGTACTATGTCCAGTTCTGGGTGTCACACTTCAGGAAAGATGTGGATAAATTGGAAAACGTGCAGAGAAGATGAACAACAAATAAAGGCTTAGAAAATATGACCTGTGAAGGAAGATTGAAAGAATTGGGTTTGTTTAGTCTGGAAAAAGAGAAGACTAAGAGGGGACGAAACAGTTTTCAAATATCTAAAAGGTTGTTAAAAGGAAGAGAGAGAAAAAAGTATTCTCCATACTCCTGATGATAGGTCAAGAAACAATGGTCATAAATTACAACAAGGGAGGTTTAGTTTGAACTAAGGATGTTAAGTATTGTGTAATTCACTAATCGAATAGTCGATGCATTTTTGCATCGACCATTCGATTAGTCAATAGGGCGGTGCTGCCCCTTTGAAACACCGCTGCAGCATTTCAAAGGGGAAGCATCGCACAGAGCCTGGGCTCAGCTGGGGACTCCCCAGCTGATCCCGAGCTCCAGGCGGCACTGCCACTTTGAAGTACGCCCCTTTTCCCCCTTTGGTGCTCTGATAGCTGCAGGAAGGGAGGGGGAGGCGACCAGTGGACTAGTCCTTAATATCCTTAGTTTGGACATTAGGAAAAACTTCCTAATTGTCAGGGTGGTTGAGCACTGGAATAAATTGCCTAGGGAAGTGGTAGAATCTTCATATTTGTTCAACCTGCTCTTAACCTTAAAACACATGTGAGGGATGGTCAGGAAGATGGTGCTTGGTCCTGTCATGAGTTCAGGGGACTGGACTTGATAACCTCTCAAGGGTCTTTCCAATTGTATGATTCTATATAGAAAATCACCCCCTCTGTTAGCAAGAAAGAGAGGAACAGGACAAACACCGGTCAATGTTCTTAAAATTAGTGCAAGTGGGATCTTTGTTAAATAAATCTGAGTTTATTAGTGAATCTGTCAGAAAATAGATATGTTACCTAAAAACTATGCGCTGCACACGGCAGAAGATGCCACATACTTCTCTCATAGAGCAAAACTAACGAATGCCTGCAGGGACGGGGGAACCCCAGAGGTGCTACCACCCGCACAGCAGTGCTGATCCCAGAGAAGAACTCCAAGGCCCGCAGGCTGCTTGCACTAGTTCCCAGTACATCTGCCCTGGACCCCAGGCAAGCAGCCCCATGCCCAGCGCAGCAAGCACTTGGTCTCCACTGCCCAAAGCAATGTACCTCAGCTCTCCTGCTCCCCAGCCATGCTGCGGGAGGCTTCGGCTGGGGCGGTGCAAAGCCAGTCTTGCTGCTTTGGTTGGGAGAGAGCTCACAGGCTTTTAATCCAGAAACACCCCTGTCTGCTGCCCACCGCCACCCCCCACCTGC